GCGCGCAGCGCCACGGCCAATCCTGGTCCATCATCGCGACCGACGCCGGTTCTGGAACTCCCAGGGACAACCCAAGGGAGTATCCAGCCCGTACGCCGGCTGGGTGGTGCCCTCCAGCGAGGAGGGCGAACGATGCTCAGAGAGCACCGTGGTGGGAGGAAGGAGGCAGCGCGCGCGCGTCAAGTCAGCAATCCGCAACGCGCGTGGGAGATCAACAAGACGCGCCTTCGCCGTTTACATACCGTGTAAACGGCGAAGGCGCGTCTTTCCGCGACGCCCACCATGGCCCCGCCACCGTCCCCCTTCCACTCCCCCCCTTGACCTCGCGCCTTCGGCGCGCAACCTCCCCGGCTACCGCTCCACCTGTCCTTTGGGTAGTCCCTTGGGCCACTACCCGTAGTCCGTGGGTTGCAACCCCTGGGCAACTATGCCCAATGAGGTTGCAACCCCCCTCTGCAAGTTGCAACCCCTCGCCCAGAGGCCGCACGGCCGACAACCGAATGATAACCCCAAAATGTTCAAAAGTCAGACAAATTCGCGCAAATTAAATTATAGATGTCATAAAATTTCATTTTCATTGTCAATAATAGAGGTGAATGCCAGCGTAGTCTAGATACAAATACAAAGCGTAATCTACTATGGGAAGACCAACAACAGCACATATATCTATCTACTAGAAAGATAGAAACGACAACTATCACATCAATTGGTCGTACCGCAACGGATCCTGTTGATCGCGCGAGGAGACTGGCTCTACTCAAATATGAACCGCTGAGCCTCCAGCAAGACATTGAGCGCGTGGTACGCGGGCGCTCGACGGCAGGGCTATGCGGAAACGTATGAGAAACGGTCTCAAATTGAGATACTAGATGTGAACATACCAAGAGCGGGGTTCGGCGCGGGCGGCCGGGCCTATGGCGGAAGGAGGACTCGCAACACGAGCGAGTAGAATCGGCAAGGTCACAGAGAAAGACACGAGTCACAAGGACAGGTCGTACAATATGATGGATAGAGAGAAGCGCGAGGAAGGGATGGGGGAGGGCGTGATGACGGTGACGGTGGCGGCCGTTGATGAGCGCGTAAGACCGGGACGATAAACGAAAACCTATAGCAAGTTGTATTAAATGTGGAAGAGGAGGGCACGAGCGCGTGGACGGACGACGTACGACAGATGAGGCGACAGCCGCATGCGAGCGGCAAGACGGCGCGAGGGACGACGAAAACGCTACGAGGGTTCCGCCAACGCGCTCATCGGCTACCGTATTGCAAACAATACAGTAGAGGGCGCTACGGCGATGATAGTAAACGGCACGGACGGCGGGCAGCGGGCGGCCAGTGCATGAGCGGGCGAGGAAGGTGAGGGGAGAAGGCAAAAGTCGACTTGTCGAACGACGCGTGAAGCGCGGCTCGGGTCGGCTCGGAACGGGTGAGCCAATCGGAGCAGTTGAGCCGACGACGCGTCAGCGCGGCGCGACTCGCGACTTGGTGATTTTATTCCTGCCTCCATCGCGCCTTCCCTCTCACCCTCGCCCTCGCCCTCGCCCTCGCCCGCCGCCCTCGCCGCCCTCGCCGCCCTCGCCGTCGTCGTCCTTCGTCCACCCATGCCCTGCATCCGGCCCTTCCGAGCTCTCTAGAGTGCGACTCTGATGGCGCGAGTCCACCCTTCCCGCGAGATTAATCATCGCTGCCTGCGCCACCATGCGCGTTGTTGACCTCGCTCTTCTGTTTGATGGTGAGTGATAGTAGGCTGAGGTGCGCCATTATCTGTCTCTCATCATGATCTTGTACTGACTGTTCCCTTGTCAGCGAACTCTGCACTTGCGCCCGCTCGCCCATGAAGGGCCGTCGCTCACCCGTACGTGCAGTCAGTTCTTCCTACGTTTGCTTCGCTCATGCCTCTCATAGAGTATTTGCGATTTTGCTTACCGTTCCAGGCCCGTCGTATCGAGGGTGCGTCTTCGCGACTCGTCTCGGTGCCCCCCATCCGCCTGCTGTAAGCGGATCGTCATATCTGCGTATGGTGTCGCGGTTCGCGGTACGTCCGCGAGGGCGATTAGCGGCGAGACCGTAGTCCACCCGCCCGGCGTGGAATGTGATCATGCGCGCCCATGAATAGTTCCCGCCCGCTTTTCCGTTGTAGTATATCACCTATGTATCCTGTATATCTATCTATCTAGACTCGTTTTTTGTACACTACTGAGCTGCTACACGGCCAATATCAATTATGTTTAATTATCAGATTTTTTCCTTTTTCGTTCGCCCGAGCACTTATCGTTGTGCCGAGTTGTGCCGAAGACGGTTGCAACCTCTCGAGGGGGGTCGCAACCCCATTGGGCATAGTTGCCCATGGGTTGCAACCCATGAACTACTACGGCTGCTTGGGCAGTGGATGCTGGTGGTCGGGGTACGACCTTTTGGGCGTTAGCACACGGTCGGCGTGATGCCATCGACTTGGCCACCCACCAACCTCCCACCCGGCCTGCGCCATGCTTCCGTACGGAAGGTAAGCACGAGCCGCTCGTCGTGCTATGCTGGCGCACTGGGGCCACACACAGGGCTCCGGAGGTGACGCTAGCACGATGGGCCAACCCTTCAAGTCATCAAGTCCACTTGCTGACTCGTTCAAATTATCTTTCTAGTTACCTCGCGCCTCGGCGCCGATGCATACGCCAGCCCGCTTGCTAACGTTCTACGTTTTGCTAAGGGCGTCTACTGACCAACCCTTTTTAGGAGTTCGTTGAGGCCGCCTTGAAGGCTGTCAAGGCGAGTTTCTCTTTCCCTTGGCGTTTAGACCATACGCTAACTAACTCTTTCACTCGCAGCCCAAGGCGAAGCAGGGCAGGCGCCTCCCGCGCCAGTACCACGTCTTGGTACGCACCGTCTCACCTCTCCCCCAACTAATCAGCGGCGCTAACTATCGTTCTACTACTACAGAGCGATGAGGAGGCCGAGGACGCCGAGGACGCCGATGAGGAGGTCGATGAGGACGCTCACTCCGTCATCACGATCTCCTCGGACTCGGACGAACAACCGGCAGAGCCAGAAATCCCCGCCAACGCCGTCGAGGCTACGCTGCCCATCGAGCAGCGCCTGCGCTGGCTTGCCAACGGCACCCTCGCCTCCCTCAGCAACCAGCCGGAGACGGCGCAGAAGGTGTTCAAGGCCGCCATCAACAAAGCGCTGCCTCAGCAGCTCATGATGGTAGAGACTAACGGGGCGTTTCCTGAGGCCAACGAGGACGAGGACTTCGACGACAGCGACGTCGCCCGGGCGATTGGCACTGAGTGCATACTCCAGGTCATCGCGCCGCCAGCGCCCGGGAGGCGAGACACTTTCCAGCTGTTCAGGCAGCGCGTGATGCATGAGGACAACGCTGGCATCCTCGAAGCCTGCGCGATGCTGGTAAGCACCCCCATACGCCCACCCGACCTCACTACCACTAACTAAAAACACTCAGATCTACCCCCGGCGCTCGCAGTTCTGGAACAAGATCGCCACGCTCGTGCCGCCGCTGATCGAAGACGCCTACCTCAAGGAGTACACCCAGCCGGGCAGGGACCAGGCCGGAAACGCCATCCCGCGCGACCCGGCGCGCATCGCCGAGGCCGTCCGCGCCTGCCTGCTCCACGACCGCTTCCTCCAGGCTGGCAGGCTTCAGGTGCGTAGCGCTACCGCATTGCCGCGGCATAGAAACTAAAGAGTTGTAGCCCGGCGTGGGCCATCGCTTAACGTTTAAGGTCGATGAGGACGCCGAGGGCCTCATGCACACGAACCCCATCATCGCCGAGTACATCGCCCGCTCGTACTTTGGAAAGGTTCCGGGCGGCCACACCTTCAAGCTCAGCGATTGGCCGGACGCTTCTTGGGAGGACGCCAAGGTCGGCGACAAAGAGGTCCCGACCGTTATGCTGGCATTCGCGGCGGCGATGGTGAGTTCGCGGTCTTACTTTTAACGTGACGCCACTGACACGACGACCGTTAGCTCGAGTTTGGTCTCCGGAGCTGGGCAACCGGGGAGTACAACCGCATCGACCTGAGGAACCCGAACGTCGTCGTCGCCTACCGGCGCCATTTGGCCGGCCTGGCTGCCACTAAGGCTCAGGCCCCGGAGATGCTGGCCGCGCTCCAGGCCTGGACGTACAAGAAGGCCAAGTAAGTTGCCGACGTCACCAATCCACTCCGGTATGCTAACATCCTCGTAGGAGCTGGTCCCCGAGGGCCGGTGTCCAGGCCGCTGCTGCCGCTCCCGCGCTCACGGGCAACATGGCGTTCTTCACCCAGGACCTGGCTTAAGAAGGGTTAGGGTCTCATCCGCTGACCGTGCGCTAGGTGAGTATTCTTCTGTACCGCTTGTTCACGTACTAACCCTTTCCTACAGGCTACTACAAACATATTTGATACTATTCTCATGCTTCCCGATCCATTACGTACTTTCTCTCGGTCTCGCGCGCAACCGCTACGTAGTCTCCTGGGCGCGCAACCGCCCACCTTCTCCGTCTCGTCCCGTCTGATCCTCCATTCTCGCACTCAACTGTCCCATGGCCCTGCGTCGCGCTCAACCGCGCTTTCCTAGCTTTTGATATACGATCCTGCCCGCTTACGACACCTTGTAATTTCTTTTGGACAATAACGATGCTGTTGATCTTCACTTTCGAGCGCTAAGCAGCGCCTAAATCGCGCAAACGCCCCATATAACGGTAACCCATGCTTCTATGCTCCCCTCGGGCTGCGCTTCGACGGCCTATTGATGAGGTACTGGTTGCTGAAAGCCTCGTATACTGTTCTCCTTACGATCTATTTTCAGCCGAATATCCCTCGCACGCCGACTTCGCTGATCTACTCATTGCAGAACAAACCCCTTACACACGATAAGCCGCCCTCACAGCCGACTCAAGACCACTGGTGAGCATCATATTATTTTGATTTAGACTACTCTACGCTAATCTACGCTAGGCTAGATTGCCGTTTTTTCGGCGACATCTCTTATAGCTGCTAATGGCGAAGATCTAGGCTACGCTAGGCTAGATGATATTACATGGTGTGACGCGGCGTTACGGGGCAGGCGTTTTCCTGATGCGATGTAGAACTGGCGCGAATGTGTGGACGTGCAAGAAGTATAGATCGACGAATTCATCAAGAAGGTCTGGATCTGGAAAGTTATACGGAACCTGGTCCGTCTCGTTCGCGAGGTCTTCCATCCACTGGTAAACGCTTGAGTAGGGTCTGACGGAGTGAGGCTAGAGCTCTTACTTCTGGCCGTCTCCGGGCATTGCCGAAGATAGAACCAGCATTGGAGTGTGGTGCTAGTCGAGAGCACAGGGTGATTGCCACTTTCAGAAGACTGACTGCAGACGACCTGCCCAGGTAGTTCGATGTGTCCCTGTGCTTCGCAGATAGGATGGCAGGAAGCTGGCGAAGTTTTGTCGTCAGACTATCCTCTTCATCTGACAGGTGACCATCCTCCTCCATGGGCGTCAGAGGCGGCGCTTGTTCGGGACCTAGAATGGCGAGGGAGCTCGATGTTGTAGCTGTTGGTAGATACACAGCGCCGGCTTCTGAGGATCCCTGTGGCAGAGGATCCTCCAGCAAGGACATTCCGCAAACACCAGGCATCATCCAATTATCGCGGGTCAAAGTGAAACCTACTTCTTTAGTGAAGTCCTGACCCGGTGAGAGCTGGATGCGGCCGTGTCAGCTTGTATTGCAGAAAAGATCGGGTATTGATGAGAGTAGCACCCGTCTGATAAGACTCTCAAGCCTCATGACCTTCACTTCAAGGGCTTCAATATATCTGCGCATAGGTCAAAGAAAGCTTGGGTTAACGGCGTACAGACTTACCCAGTGTACTTCCCCTAAGAGCCAAAGGTAAGATCAGGCCGGGGAAAGTTCATTCAACAATTCGTTTACCCTTGCGTCGTATCCAGTCCATTCGCATGCTGAGATGATTAGGCTCAGGATCGCATCGCGTTCGCTAAGAGATATACGTACTCCAGTTACGGGCCGTACAATTCGAGCATTTAGCTGTCTGAACCTGTTTGCCGTCGCCTGAGAGCAAGATTCAGCCGCGCGCGAGGCAGATCAGAGGTGAAGGATCTCACACCGAACTGGGATTACAGAAGACATATCATATTCAGCCACTGAAAAGCGCCGACGCTATTCCCATACCTTTTCTCTTCCTGCACCTGATTAACGCCCGTATCAGCTCTCCACACGAATGACCAGACGACTAGCATCTTACATGTCGCAAGCATTTGGCCTGCGCCGTTTGTAAGGATCCGACTGCGTTCCCTTGACGTGACTATCTTGATGCCTTTCGCCTGAGGACATGGTGATGGTGGTCTGGAGCCGAGGTGCTACAGGTGCAATTGCCGCTTACCGCCCCGTGCCCACGTAAGACATCTTATGCTCGGTCAGATTTGCCGCTCGAGGTGAACACTGAGTACCGCTGAATTGAGCTCAAGGCAGGGCACTTTCAACGCAGAAGAATTCTATAGATATGTATGGTGTGGCGCATGCGTCCAATGTGCTAGAGAGCGTGTCAACGAGGGCCGAGGGTGGTCACATCGCCACAATTCAAATCCGATTACTCGACCCCGTCGGGCGAGTGATCAGTGCAACATAAGCTTAGAAGACGGAGCTTATGACACCTGGCGGTCGAATCAACTCCGAACGATATCTTCAACGGCGACTGATAGGACGGCGAGCGGCGTCGGGGTGTAAGTGGGCCCATCGGGCATGCGTATACCAGATCTTCGCGCCATGAGCGTTTCCTCTCGGATGTCGTCGGGATGCGCTGTTGAGCCGAAGTACGAGTACGGGCGGGGTTGGCATCAGGCATCATGGTTGGAGAACGAAAGCAAGGAAGGGTGGGACGGTGACAGCGCGTGAACTTGAAGGCTGCGTTCAGCGCGACGCTGTATGATGGCTTGATGCTCGACCACCACCTCCCCCCAGTCAGCGTAACCCTGTCCGTAACTTGTGGTCTGAGGATGGTGCATCTAGAATAATGCTATGGTCTGACCTACCAAGTCTGCCGTTTCCTCTCAGTACCAAGGCAATTGCGTGTCGCTGGCACCGCGCAGGTGACAAATCCACCAAAGAACTACTCGAGAGCAAGCGCTACTCAATATCAGTGGGCTGAGCTTGTGAGAGCCACGCGTCATGCTCTTGACAATGGCTTCGATCCATACTCTTTCGACATTCACCCTTGTTTAATGCCATGTGGCATGCATTGGCGGTGAAGCTTGCCACGGGCATGCATGCCAACATCCGTTCGGAGCAGGCATGGCGTCCCGCCACACCGCTGTTGAATCCGAACAGTGGCGTGGTCTCTCTTGCGCTCTCCACGATGATCTGGCCATGGATGCCGACCCTTTGTGTCTGCCTCGTTCTGTTACTGATCTATCTGACTATAGCACTGCGCGTACGGAGCGCTTGCGCTCAATTGGTACGATACGCCTAATCTTGATTTGGGCATGCATCTGACATACCATAGGCCGCATACCTGATTTCCGTCTCTCCGCCTACCCTGCGATACCTCAACTTCCTGGATGTCGATTCCCTCTCGGCGCGCAGCGTCTCCCGAACCGCATCAGCCCCTGGCGCAGTCAACTCTTCCCGCCTCATTCGCGTCCTAGAAGACAGACACCAGTCTGAAGTATCGCATCTCCAACGGGCTTTGACGAATCTATCCGAACTTCTGGACGAGTCCCGCGAGCGCGAAACCCGCCAGAAGCGACGTGTACAACGAAAGGTTGGACAGGAACGCAAGCTCACGACAGTACTGGGCGAGCAGCTTACCGTTGCGCATGCGTCAACCGCGCAGGCGCGGCACAGGGTTCTGGAGATGAATCAACTGTGTACCAGGGTACAGAGCGCCAACGCGCGGTTGAAGGCCGAGAACGATGAACTGCGCCAGGTGAGCCTGCCTGTCCTGCTTGCCGGACGAACCTCTGATGATCGGCAGGTGGGAGGGGAGGTGCTGGACGACAATGAGCGCCTATTGGCTGATCTAGATCTGACCCGGCGGGAGGCTGAGCGCTACCGCGGAGAGATCTCCCGTCTGCAAACTGTGCGCATCGTGGTCTTCTACTCTTTACTTTCCCATCGCTGACATTAAGCAGGCACTCGACGAGCAGGAAGCATCAGCGCGAAGTACGGTGACCTCGCTGAGAGACCAGCTTGACAGGGTCAAAGGATCGTTCGCATTGTTGGAAGAGATTGTCGACGACGCTCGCGCGGAACTATTCGAGTGCAGAAATGAACTGGACCACCTCAAGTCACGGCTTGCACACTTGCCTGAGGCGTGCGATGACGACGTTTCCGATCTGGAGCTCGAGAGGACCCTCTTCGACGCTGATGTTTCAAGCGAGACAGGCGTGTCGAGCAGCGCTAGCGATGAGAGCCACACCAAAGCAGCGAAACATGGGCCAATCAGCAGCCCAGCGCATACGCATGGATCGATCACACTTAATGGCTCGACTAAGAGTCCCGACAAGTTCAAGTTACGGTTGGCGCTTGAAGACTTACGCTCCATCCTCGTACGCATGCTTCTTTCTACACGGGAACAGTTGGCCTGACTGACATTCATTATGCTAGCCTTCCACGTTGACCGTCCGTGTCGTTGCGACTCCCCCAACCTCATCTTCTTCCTTAGCCGCCCTCGATCTCGCATACCGCCGTGCCGCCGACCAACTCTCCTACGAAGACCTTCTGACCCTCGACTTCCCCTCATTCTCGACTGTGTCTTCTTTCGACAGCGACACATGCGATATCACTCCCTCGTTTCCAACTGTGTCTCTACCGAAGTCTTTCGCGGACGACCTTCTCCCGCTCAGTAGTCTCGCATCCGAAGAGTCGCAACCATCATCCTCAACCTCCGCACCTTCGCTTACCCTCTTCGCGGACTCAGACAAACTAGCGCTTGATCCATTCGACGCGAACCCGATGTTGGCTATACCTACTTTTCGTCTGACCCATTCCGCGCCACCGTCTCCGCGGAGGTTGACGCGATATGCACAAGATCTAGAGGATCTCTGCCTGCATAGGTCCACGTCGATGCCTCGGGCAGTCGATGAGTTGGCGCTCGTCCCACTTCCCCGGGTACAAGAGAAGCTTATGGACGTTGCAATGCCTCACGCACCGAAGCTGACATCGTCGAAGTTAATCTACACTCATGCACGCGCCTCTACCGCGCCACTCGCGTCGTGCTCGTCTTCATCTTCGACTACATCTCTACCACTCTTCGCCTCTATTCCTGCGACACCCCCGCCGGAAGACCCTTTTGCACTGGACCCAATGCTTGCCGTTCCAATCTTTCGCTTGGCGTCCAGCGCACCTCCCACGCCCAAGCGTCTCTCGCGCTCGGACAGACATCTCGAGCGCATGACGATGCGCGCTTCGACGTCTTTGCCTGAGCCGCTCGACGAAATTCTGCCGGAATACGAAGTACATGTACCGACTCGTCGGAACGGCAACGTAACGCAGGAGAGGATCCTGGACGAGAAGGTTCCATGGGAGGACTATGCAACAAGCGAATCGCTGGATGAGTTCGACACGGTCGGCATCCCGCCTCTTACTTTGGTTACCAGGGCCACTGCCTCAATATAAACAATACTTCGTCGACGAGCGACATATCATTATTGTATCTATTGCATGTACCCAGGCCAACTATTCGTATAGATCGACTGTCATGGATTTGTATGGCAAGGTGCACGGCAAAGGCCGAGACTCCGAAAGGAGCAACGATGTCCCTTAAGCTCTCGTGGCGCATCTCATCAACCTTGTTGCTATGCCAGATGTGTGCACTCCCTTGTCATTGTCTTGGGCAGCCCAGCCTATGCCTCGACTGACTGAACTGCACAGTACCAGTCGCCGAAAAGCGCGATTCGGAGACTAGCGACGAGGGTACGCGCAGTACACGTACCTCTCTTGGCTTCGACGCGTCGTCGTGTTGTCGTGTTGCCATCGCACGCCTTGCGATCACCGTCGGCCCTTGCGGCAACAGCGCCGTGTGCGGCATCGGCATGATTCAGGTTGATATGCTATCAGAGTTTGGTTCCCATAAGGCAACAGTAGGAATGTACAACACCCAACGGGTGACGAGCCTTCCTTACGCCCGACCTTCGTCTTCCCCTTTCGCCGGCCGCGCCTTTCCATTCGTTTTTACTTCTCAGTCCACCGCAGGTCGTTCGGTGTTGACTGTAGGCTTTCTTGTATCACACTTGGGCTTTGTGCTTTTGCTCTGTACCTTGCTTTCCTTCGTTCTGTGAACTGCTTTGTGTGTCATGTCGACCGTGACTATTGAGGACTCAGATGGCACCGGCGTACTTGTGTATGAGCCCGCGGATGTCTGGCAGACGGCGACGGATACCTCAGACCCCTCGAACACCTCCCACCTGTCCAAAGAAGCGAACGCGAATGTGACGCTCACGTTCACGGGTGCGTAAACTTAATCTTGCTTTGACCATCGCAGTACTAAATTGGGCACGTATACGTAGGCACCGAGGTCCGCGTCAAGGGCGGACTGACCCAGGGCACCCAGGTCGCGTACATGTTCGACGACTCGGCCGTCACACTCGCGCCTGCGAACCCGGGCCATACCACGATTCTGCAACTCTCAAGCCAAGCCTGCGCCGAGCACAGTCTCAAGCTCATCACGCAACCCGATCAACATCTCGCTGTCGACAACTTCGTTTTCGTGAGCTGCACCCCGGATGCGTCGGCTAGCGCCACTACCAGCGCCGACCCGACCGTGGCCACCACTTCGGCCACTACGTCCGACGACCCAACTGTCACGGGCAACAATGTCTCCCCTGCCTCGCCGTCGGCTAGCACGATGACGACTAACGCGATGACGACTGGATCGAGCCCCGCTGCAAGTCCCATCCCCGCGTCCTTGGCCGCCAAGTCAAACAATACCGGCGTCATCGCTGGAGTGACGGTCAGCGTACTCCTCGTCCTGGCCGTTTTGGCGGCATTCTTGTTTTGGTGGATGAGGAGGAGGGGCATGAGTCTGTGCGGATGGCGCAAGAACCGCACTGCGCCGTCCGCCGCCTACCTAACGCGCGAAAAGGGCTTCTCTCGTACGGCTTCCTTCTTCCCAAATGTGGCACATAAGCTTACTAGCCCAATCTAGCGTCTTCTTACGGTGGAGGGCATAGCCATACCGAGTCCACAACGCAGTTGACTGCGACGTTCGAGCCGTCGGTCAAGTACATCGGCGACGTCAAGGTCTACGACGGTGGCTACGACGCCACCACCCAAGGTCAAGGCAGTTCGACCGGTTCTTTCCTCAATTTAAAGAAGGCCGGAAATCACAAGTACCAAAACTCGTCGGCGGCGCGAAGCTTGCGCATTGATACATCGCTACCCTGGCGTTCTCCTGGCGGTTCTGTTGTTTGAGCCTGCGAACAGCGTCCAGCGTCTCCCCGCGCGAACAGTGTTTTCTCGTTGTCCATAGTCCACAGTCCATTGTAGCATAGTTCACCACATCCGCAGGTCGTCCAAGCACTGAGTGTTTATCTTTATCTATATCCGCACGCATTCCTTACACCTTCACCTTTCATTCCTTGTCCGTGCGCAATCTAGCCGTGCTAGCATCATGTACACTGTAGCCCGTCCACCCAGTATCTCGTACTTTGCACTATCCAACTGCGCACAATCGCGATATACACATGCATACATAGTGTGATTCCACATCCACAAACGCGACAATCAGAAGCCGAACCCGCGCCCGCCGCTGAAGGCGCTCCATAGCCTCTCCCCGGCACCCGCAAGC